GCCAATCAAAGAGTCAAAATTACGGATGTAGTTGATAAAATCGGAGTTAAGCAGTAAACATGATAACTCCCATATTTGTTAAACTACATTTTTGTTCACTGCCGCCAGACATTCGCACATTCATGTGCTCATCAATGCACATCACGCGTAATAAAAAAAACGTCCATTTTTAAATTAATGCTCTAGAAATAACTAGTTGTGATACTGTCATATAAAATATATTGCATATTTAAATTGTTACCATTTTAATTTACATAAAACTTTGAAGGCTGCAAAGGTCAAAAATATGTTAATCGCACTCATGTTCGAAGTGAAGTATACTTACAAGTTCAAGGAAACCGGAATCCTAAAGTGGCGTTTCAGACAGTGTTAGCTGTGCACTTTTAATATTTCGTCTCACAACTATAAGTGGAGCATATTTAACATATATATATACTAAAATACCAAAACACAACGGTACACATGAATGTTAAAACTACTGTTAAAAACTAGTATTGTCATGATTTATATTCTTCAGTCGACACAAACCTAATATGTATATGCTAAATTTGTAAAACACAAGTTTGGAAAGGGAATTGTGAAAATTTGACAAACATTATAGCGACAAATTACATGGAGATTCCGGTATCGCAAATTACATTGTTCGCTGTGTATGACCTTGCAGTATGCAAGTATGCAAAATAAAATTTTTCACCTTTGTAAGCAAATTTGAGTGATTTTTATGTCCCTTTTATGTCAAATCTCCGAAATATTAATAGTGTGAATAGATCTTAAATTTCATGTACGGCATGGAGTGTCTTTCAACATGCATATATAATTTTAAGTATTAAAAGTGTTATCTAATATTGTTTTTCACTCCACTTTTGTTCTACAATAAGACATGTGTTCTTTTTTCTATTACGGTAACCGTATTTATTATAAATTTATGACACGGCTTTAAGAAGTTGGCATGTTATTTTGGTGGATTTCTTATCGGTCTTAGTATGTTAGAGGAATGGTTAAGGCCACACGTCAAATCAGCCCAGGTATACCTGGTGATTTATTCCGCAAAGCTTGCAGTGTCAAGCGTGTGTATGAAGCCATGGAGTCCATACGCATGCTCGAAATCAACCAATAAGAAGAGAGTGAAGGGTGTTGCCTAAAACATGTCGTATAGTCAAAAACATATTCTCTACTTCAGACTAAATCGGATTATTTTTTTATATTATAGACTAAAAATGTTGCGTTTGCAGGTCACATAACAATATTCGTTAGATGGAAAATCAAAACCGCGAATACGCATGTGTAGTGATTGTTATTGTACGTACAAAAACAAGCATTGTTTCCTCAAATACTCAAATGTGTGATATGTGAACAACGGTTTCGGTTATAAATCACAGTCCAATGTATCAATATCAACGTTGCATGATTTCGTACATATTGCATCTTGTAGGGGGAGCGGTATGGAGAAAATCGACGATGGGGCAGTTATTAACATTATTCGTTGCACATCTGAGCAGTACCGTCTCCAGTGAAATAGACAATCCCCAAACAAATCAAAAATATTCTCCAAGAAAGGATATGGCATTAAAAACGAAAATTATATTTCCGAATTTTGTTTGGTTTTGGTTTCATGGTGGGGGTAAATTCAAGAAAAGGTAATATAGACGAACAATGTGTATTTTTGAAAATTTGTGTTAGATATTGAGTTCAAAATGGAATATGATTTATCTAAACATGTAGCTCGTTCAGCACTTTGTATCGTATTCGTCAACAGTACAACGCACACGCATTTTTTCATGTATGTACCAACAAAAAGCCACGCACGTGCGTTTAGAGAATGTCATTGGTTTATCGAAAGAATATTTATCTGTGTTTTACAAGAATAGCATTTTAAATCATAATCCAATATATTCATCAACATATTTGTAACACTTGTATAACATTATGTTGTATCCGAGTTTGAATTGATTGTTGTAACGTATTTATGTGACCAAATCACACGTTGTGTGACTGCTTCATTGCAGCATTTATATGCGCCATACTCGATAATGGATTTTTCGCGGCATGAGGGCGACCTGAGATTCCAAATAATGACGGGCGACAACTTGAAGGCAGTTTCGTATGAAGTGTATCATGACAAATTTTGAAGGTACACACATCGTCATTTTATATTTCTGATTTGACCCTCTGAAGCCAAGCTATCTCTGAAATGAAGTAGCTACGGAAATAAAATAAAAGGTCGTCAACCCAGACAACTTGGAATATACTTGTAATAACACGCGTGTAACGTGAATTTATATTGGGTTAATAATGTCTCTTTACATACATACTTGGGAAAAACTACGAGTTTACCCTGACAACTTAGCACACACACAACAACGGTAGTTCTTTTTTGAAGGATGTGGTGGCCCTGAAAAGGACCGTTTGATTTGTGTACGCCAAGGCATACGATTTAAGCACGCTCGCCACGGATACGACGGGCGAGTTGGATGTCTTTGGGCATGATGGTGACACGTTTGGCGTGGATAGCGCACAAGTTTGTGTCTTCGAAAAGACCGACAAGGTAGGCTTCGCTGGCTTCTTGCAGGGCCATGACGGCGGAGCTCTGGAAGCGAAGGTCGGTTTTGAAATCCTGAGCGATTTCACGGACCAAACGCTGGAATGGGAGTTTGCGGATCAGAAGCTCTGTGCTCTTCTGGTAACGGCGGATCTCACGAAGAGCCACGGTACCTGGCCTGTAACGATGAGGTTTCTTCACTCCTCCGGTGGCTGGTGCGCTCTTACGGGCGGCTTTGGTTGCCAACTGTTTACGTGGTGCTTTACCACCGGTAGATTTACGTGCGGTTTGCTTGGTACGTGCCATGTTGATGCAATAATTCTTCAAGACAACGGCTATTGAATTTCCAAAGTGGTGGCCGCTATTTATACCTGTCAGCAACATAAAAGGGATAGTCTAATTGGTTAGAAATTATTAGGCGAGGTGTGGTGATTGGTCAGAAATGAACAGCTGTGATTGGCTAGAATTAAAGAAATTTAATTGGCTGAAACCCGGGAAGACTGAATCCGAATTGGAACTCAAGCTCAACTACACTATAATCGACAATTTTACTTGACTAAACATAAATTGTTGAATTGAGAAATAACGTATTTGAAAAAAAAACTTTCCACATTTTTACTGTAAATTCTATCGTGTTTGCCGTTATACTGATAAGTGTTATTATGTATACCAAACTTGACAACCGTTGCAAAAAAATTAACAAATAGGACATGCACGAGATACTAATATACCAAACCTCATTTGAAACCGTGAGAACTTCAACAATGTTCAACACTCGTCAACAACGACGAGGAAGCTGACGAAGTGTTAAACCCGAAACGTCCCGTTTTTCTGTTTATTCAAACAAATAATAGGTTTTGCCAATATTTATCAATGACCGCGTTTCACAAACCTTCGCCAAATACTTTCTTCTTAAATGGTGTTGGCGAGTTCCTTTTACCCTGGACATTCATGACTAAGGGATACATTTTGGATTTGGG